GGGGCCTGGAAAGCAGAATTTTTTCCAACAGGGCTCTAAAATTCAGTAAAGTCCTAAAGTAAGCACCTAAATTATCTTAGTTTTTAAATTTTTCCAACAGGAGTCTAAAATTCAGTAGCCAATTCCAAAAGTAAGCAGCTGAATTATCTGGATTTTTTAGATTATGACCCATTATTTGCACCCCACGAGGGTTCAGAGTTGCCTGGGATCCCAGGGGCCTGGAAAGGGGCATTTTTTCCAACAGGGCTCTAAAACTCAGGAAGTCTTAAAATAAGGAGCTACATTATCTTAGTTTTTATAATTATAACCCATACAAGGGGCTCAGAGCAGCCTGAAATCTTGGGGTACTGGAAAGCAGTATTTTTTCCAAAAAGGCTCTAAAATTCTGCAAAGTTCTAAAGTAAGGACCTAAATTATCTCAGTTTTTATATTTTACCAACAGTAGCCAATTCCTAAAGTAAGGAGCTGAATTATCTGGTTTTTTTTAATTATGACCCATTATTTGCACCCAGTGAGGGCTCGGAGCTGCCTGGGATCCTGGGGGGCCTGGAAAGCAGCATTTTTTCCAGGGAGGCTCTAAAATTCAGTAAAGTCCTAAAGTAAGGAGCTACATTATCTTAGTTTTTAAATTATGACCCATTATTTGCATCCCACGAGGGCTCAGAGCTGCCTGAAATCTTGGGGTCCTGGAAAGGAGAATTTTTTCCAGCAAGGTTCTAAAATTCAGTAGCCAAGCAGCTGAATTATCAAGATTTTTTAGGTTATGACCCATTATTTGCACCCCGTGAGGGCTCAGAGCTGCCTGGGATCTTGGGGGCCTGGAAAGGAGCATTTTTTCCAGGAAGGTTCTAAAACTCAGTGAAGTCCTAAAGTAAGGAGCTGAATTATCTGGATTTTTTTAATTATAACCCATTATTTCCACCCCATGAGAGCTCAGAGCTGCCTGGAATCCTGGAATCCTGCAAAGGAGCATTTGTTCCAACAGGGCCCTAAAACTCAGTAAAGTCCTAAAGTAAGTACCTAAATTATCTTACTTTTTAAATTTTTCCAACAGGAGTCTAAAATTCAGTAGCCAATTCCAAAAGTAAGCAGCTGAATTATCTGGATTTTTTAGATTATAACCCATTATTTGCACCCCACCAGGGCTTGGAGCTGCCTGAAATCCTGAGGGCCTGGAAAGCATAATTTTTTCCGACAGGGCTCTAAAATTCAGTAAAGTCCTAAAGTAAGGAGCTGAATTATCTGGATTTTTTAGGTTATGACCCATTATTTGCACCCCAGGAGGGCTCAGAGCTGCCTGGGATCCTGGGGGCCTGGAAAGCAGAATTTTTTCCAGCAAGGCTCTAAAATTCAGTCAAGTCCTAAAGTAAGGAGCTACATTATCTTAGTTTTTTGATCATAACCCATTATTTGCACCCCGTGAGGGCTCAGAGCTGCCTGGAATCCTGGAATCCTGGAAAGGAGAATTTTCTCCAAAAAGGCTCTAAAATTCAGTGAAGTCCTAAAGTAAGGAGCTACATTATCTTAGTTTTTAAATTTTTCCAACAGGCCTCTAAAATTCAGTAAAGTCCTGAAGTAAGGAGCTGAATTATCTGGATTTTTTAGGTTATGACCCATTATTTGCACCCCACAAGGGCTCAGAGCTGTCTGGAATCCCAGGGTCCTGGAAAGCAGCATTTTTTCCAAAAAGGCTCTAAAATTCTGCGAAGTTCTAAAGTAAGGACCTAAATTATCTTAGTTTTTATATTTTACCAACAGTAGCCAATTCCTAAAGTAAGGAGCTGAATTATCTGGATTTTTTTAATTATGACCCATTATTTGCACCCTACCAGGGCTCAGAGCTGCCTGGGATCCTGGGGGCCTGCAAAGCAGCATTTTTTCCAGGGAGGCTCTAAAATTCAGTGAAGTCCTAAAGTAAGGAGTTACATTATCTTAGTTTTTAAATTTTTCCAACAGGGTTCTAAAATTCAGTAAAGTCCTAAAGTAAGGAGCTGAATTATCTGGATTTTTTTAGATTATAACCCATACAAGGGGTTCAGAGCAGCCTGGCTGCCTGAAATCTTGGGGTCCTGGAAAGTATAATTTTTTCCAACAGGGCTCTAAAATTGAGTGAAGTCCTAAAGCAAGGGGCTAAATTATCTTAGTTTTTAAATTTTTCCAACAGGGCTCTAAAATTCAGTAGCCAATTCCTAAATTAAGGTGCTGAATTATCTGGACTTTTTAATTATGACCCATTATTTGCACCCCACCAGGGCTCAGAGCTGCCTGAAATCTTGGAGTCCTGGAAAGGAGAATTTTTTCCATCAGGTCTCTAAAATTCAGTAAAGTCCTACAGTAAGGAGCTGAATTATCTTAGTTTTTTAATTATGACCCATTATTTGCACCCCGTGAGGGCTCAGAGTTGCCTGGAATCCTGGAAAGCATAATTTTCTCCAAAAAGGCTCTAAAATTCAGTGAAGTCCTAAAGCAAGGGGCTACATTATCTTAGTTTTTAAATTTTTCCAACAGGGCTCTAAAATTCAGTAGCCAATTCCTAAATTAAGGTGTTGAATTATCTGGATTTTTTAGATTATGACCCATTATTTGCACCCCACCAGGGCTCAGAGCTGCCTGGAATCCTTGGGTCCTGGAAAAGCATAATTTTTTCCAGCAAGGCTCTAAAATTCAGTGAAGCCCTAAAGTAAAGGAGCTCCATTATCTCAATTCCCCCTTTTCCTGGCACTCCAGGCCCTTGGGAATTGTCCCTCTCCCTGTTTTTTTGCAGGTCACCCCCCCAACCCTCCCCTTCTCCCACCATCCCTCCTGTGCATCCCTCAGGGAAAACAGCCCAGCAAAGCCCCCAAATCACCAATTAAACACTGAATTAAATCACAAATAAAGAATTTGCAAGGTGGAAAAGCCCTGAGCAGTGGGAAGCTCTGGAAAAAGGGGGAAGTTTAAAACAAAGCCCTTCCTTCATGCAGACACTTGCTGGGCATTACAATCGAGATACCAGGCACTGAGGGCTTTTTTATCCCCCCCCCTTCATTTCACACGAGTTTTGAAGCTGGAAGGCTCATTTTTCACCTTTTTTTTGGTTGGTTTTTAATCCAGCTGCAATAAGTTTGATATAAAGATGAGGGGAAGCAAAGGCCTCAGCCTCTCAAAGCTAAAGCAGGTGGGAAAAACAGCCATGGAAAAAATTCATCCTCTGACTGGAAAACACACAGGGAGAGCTTTTCCTGTTTTATTTTGGAAGGAGCAGTGTTTTTATCTTTACCTTTAGGCCTAAAGTAAGGCCTAAACTGAGCTCAGTCTGCTTTAATCTGCATTCTGAGGAGGGAGCTGCAAAGCCGGGCCTGCGTTTCCTGCCGGGGAGGTTGGGATGGAATCTGAAGCAGATTCCAAGTGTTTTTCCCAACAATCCCGAAGGAAACGTTGCAAAGGGGATTCAGGAGTCGAGTGGGAGCTGCAGGGCAGCTGCTCTTCTCCTCCTTTCCAACAGCAGGGAAAAAAAACCGGCAAAAAATGAAGGAAATTGCCCGGAATTGTCTCTGATTTTGGGCCGTTTCCACCTCCCCGGGTCTGTCCCTGCTCCCCCTCACACTTTGCTCCCTTTGCCCTCCTCTCCCAGGGCTTTCTCCATGGAAAAAGTGCTGTTCAGGACAGTGATCCTGGAATCCTGGGATCCCTGAGGCTGGAAAAGCCCTCCGGGATCATCCAGCCCGGCCTGTGCCCCGTCCCCACCTCCAGGGACTGGGGACTCCAAACCTCCCTGGAGAACGTCCCAATCCTCAACAAACCCTTTCCAGGAGGAAATGATTCCTCCTCGTGTCCCCCCTGACCCTCCCCTGGCACAGCTCCAGGCCGTTCCCTCTCCTCCTGTTTTTCCCTGGCAGCAGAGCCCGACCCCCCCTCAGCTCCGACCTCCTGCCAGGGAATTCCAGAGGGAGAAGGTGCCCCCTGAGCCTCCTTTGCTCCGGGATGACCCCCCCCAGATCCCTCAGGACTTCTCCAGACCCTTCTCCTGCTGCTCCAGCCCCTCTGGACACGCTCCAGCCCCTCAACATCCTCCCGGAATTCCCAGAACTGGGCACAGCCCTCGAGGTGTGGCCTCACCAGTGCCCGGCACAGGGGGCACAATCCCCTCCCTGCTCCTGCTGGGACACCCCAGTCCCGATCCAGGAATGCCAGGATCCCATGGGATGGTGCCAGGAATGCCCTCCCTGCCCCTGCTGGGCCACCCCAGCCTGATCCAGGAATGCTAGGATCCCATGAGATGGTGGAATGGAATGCCAGGAATCCCTTCCCTGCTCCTGCTGGGACACTCCAGCCTGATCCAGCCCAGGATCCCATGGGATGGTGCCAGGAATTCTCTCCCTGCTCCTGCTGGGCCACCAGGAATGCCAGGATCCATGGAATGGTGCCAGGAATCCCTTCCCTTCTCCCTCTGGGC